GGGGTAATTCTTGCTGACATCAGAATTTGTATCAGCAAGAAAGAAGCATCAGGCCCCGCCTTGTCACACTAGAGTTGTACTGGAATTACTTGGACTATATATGGCTAATTGGGATAAGCCTTTCTATCCTTCAGAGAAAGCTGCAATAAAAACTGAAGAGGAAAGCACATGGGAAAATAATCAGCTTAAGCAGTTAGACTGGCTAAATTATAAGCAACTGAAAACAGGGTCTTAGAGAGTGGGAAGTGTTGGGCAACCTTAACAGGCAGGGTTACCAGCCCCGCCTATAGCATCATTCAAGTAGTAGAAAGATAGAAGCTTGTGATGCTATTCCATTCATCTGCATCTTATCAATGTCTGGATGTCACTGGCAGAAAACTAATTCAGTGGCAAGAATGAGCCTTTTGTGCCCTTGACAGTTCTTCCTACCCCTCCATCTCTGCCTATATAACATTCTGTTTTCCTGAAACAGTCATCCCTCCATAATACTCACATTTGAGCTGCTTCTTTCTTGGGTAAAGGCAGCTGACAATAACACAGAATAGCTCTCTGAACAAATGTATTCAAAATTAATTAAAAAAAATAAAGCAACACACGCTCGTCTGGCAGATCCCATACATATTTTCCATAAACGTTCATTTTTCCACATGAACAAATTGTGAGTATGTGGGGGTTTTTCAATGAATCTTGATATGGAACTTAGAATTCTTGGCACTAGCCTGTGAAGCTAAAATGACATCAGCTCGACTTTCTATATAGAAATGTTATAGTCGCTGCCCAACCACATTTCTTTGTTCTGAGCATATACACTCTCTTCCAAGCTGCTGCTTTAGTATGGTTTACTGTTCATGGTGATCACTAAAAACTGTGCATTTGTATTCATTATAGTTCTCTGTTTTCCCACGCAACAAAGCGAGCAGCAGGACCAAGTGATAAAATGGCACTTCTCTTTACAAGACAGAAGTGCTGTCAGTTTTAGCAACATGCATACCTTTGCTATCCCAGCAGCTTTTTAGCGGGGGTTGAAGAATTGTGGGATGAGACCTGACTTTGCCATCAGGATCTGGTCACTCTCCATAAAGCCAATGGAGTTCAAAAGAATTGGGTTGGTGGGAGTTGGAGGGGCAAGGCAGATGAGGGCCACTGTGAACAACATACATAGGCTGATGCACTGCAAGAGCTTAGTATTATCAAACTGGGAAGAGGAGAGAATTGGAGCAAGCCAGCCTCTGAGTTTGAAGTGGGACATTCTCGTGAATGGGCTGGAGGACTCCAAACGCCACCTGTAGCAACATTTGTCTGGTGCATATACTATTAGGGAGAATAGCCACTGAAGTGCATGGGGATTAGGAAGGCAATATTAAAAAAAAGGGTGGGGGGTTAGCAAAGTAATGGACATTTACCATGTTCTCAGATGGTGCAGCCACTGATTTCAGACCAAGGATCCATCCTTCATGGTCTACAGTATGGGGGAGCTGCAGAGGGGTAGGGCCAGGTGGACTTCATACATTTCAATACTGTGAATGCACTTCTTCAAACAGTCCTTGGAACATTATATTTCATCTCTGCATTTCATAATAAAATAGGTTTTCAAGAAAGAGATGTTCCTTTACTAAATGCACTGTGTCCTTGTCTGCAACACAGCAGATAGAGGCACATAATTAGCTAGTAATGTTGCATCAAAATACTCCAATACGCATAGCTCTGATATTGTAATAGCACTAATATACTCCGGAAACAGTGTGATGTTACAATATGCAGATTCAGCTGTTTGCATGGAGGTTACACTGATCAGACAAGCCTGAGAGTGACTGCACTTAATATTTAACACAACAAAATCAGGGTCCTAGTTTAGGTTTAGTCAGACTTGCCACAATAAAAGCCAGTTTTATTACTGCACAAAACCCCTATGTCATCTACTCTCTAAATATTCAGCCTCTTTAACATGTGACAGAAAAATCGCTGCTGCTTTCCTCCTGTGCAAGATCATCATTTCACCCTTGTAGGGAAATTGCCACAAAACCATATTAACAGTTAAAGATTGTGAAGTCATTTACTAAGATAGCAAGAAGCCTTGGTAACAACATTTTTACAACAACATTTTCACAGATATAGATTGCAAGAAATCTTTACCTTGAATGTAAATTGGAGAGATCGTAGCTTCCTCTTGTGGATCAGAAATAGGATAAAAAAAAAACCAAAACACCCTACCAGGCTCATCTGCTGAGAGTTCTGTAAATCCCAAGTCTGCTTCAGCTAGCGGCTCTAAGTTTGTGCTCTGAATAGAGGCTGTGTTATTTTAACCACAGGATTTCTAGTCATGGGGGAGGAGAGATGGATTAGGTACGTTTGCAATCTAATGCTTCACGTTTACCTCAACTGAAATGAACTACTCTAAGCCCGATATAAATAAGAACTTCTGAGATATAAATTTCAAGAGTCCTCACACCAATTATGCTTAAACTAACATGCTAAATAACTGTGGAAAATTCCAGAGGAATAAGATAACATAGTCTTGTGTTCTTTCTTAAATAAGAGGCATGTGTGGAATTTCATGCTAGATACTGACACGACAGAGACAGCAGATGAACTATACAGAATAACCTGTACAAGGTACCAAACCTCTTAAACTAATGTTCCTAACACCTGTTAGCATGCGTTTCATCAGACATCAGAGCAATCTGATTCATCACGGTCTCTAGAAATTAGATCTGGATGCTTTGAATGCAATGTTTTAAAAGGACAAATACAACCTTTTTAGAATAAAGAGTAACCTTTTAAAAGGGGCTTCAAGTCTGTGGATGCATGGCTGTTCACATGGAGATGACAGACTTCCTTCTTTGCAGGAGCACAGGTATCTAGTGCCCTTGACACATACAGATAGCTGTGGACATAATTGAATGCAGGGAAAATATGCCCAGAGGACTGCTTTCTTTTTAAAAAGTAAGCTGAAAACCTATATTTTTTTCCTGGGTTCTGGTAACCTAACAACAGTAAGGTCTTACAGCACTGCATGGGCTACAGTGACAAGCTCACCTCAAAAGCAGCAATTCAGAAAATTGAAGTCAATCGGTCTTCTTTGCGAGTGGAATGACATGGGGAAGTTAATGGAACATTCCTTGGATCTTTGTCTTGAGCAGAGGGAAAGTGCTTGGAAAAAAATAGTAAAAAGGAAAAATTAATTTTGATCTGTCTTTGACAACAGAAGTCCCACAAGCAGAAATTGAATATCATTTTACGTAAACTGAAATCTATAAATAACATTATCTTATATTTGTGTAATGTCTTTCAACCCAAAGCACTTCAAAGTGCTTTATAAGCATAATCAGCTGATTTGTGAACTAAAGGCAGACGTCTTTTCATTCAGCATTAGAATACAGCCACATCTGGAGTGAAATGGATTAGCCATTTAATAGTGTACGGAAACACTAATCAATAGGTTAGGGTAGAAAGGGAAGAATGGCATATCCAGCTGAAACTAAAACAGGGTTAGGTAGGCAGAATAGACTGCAATTATCTGCCTTGGAATTAGGCCAGCGTGTCAAGCCTAGTACCTTTATTCTCATGATAAAGACACAGGAGGCATGAGCTACATCCTCAGTTTGTCTAAAAATCAGCAGAGGCCAACTGATTTCAGCAGAATTGCTATCTGTTTTCCTGCTGAGGATCAAGCCTTATTATTGTGATGATCACCAGCAGTCCAGAGCTGTTTTACTTTCATCCCAAAGAGCCACCTAGGCCAGGTACAGACATTACACGTTAACTGGCATAATTGGAAACCAGCCTATCCCCATAATAGACCACATCCAGCACGTGGACTGGTTTAAAAAGGGCAAAACCCAGTTTAAGATTCCCCCCATCTTCCACCAAAGAGCAAATGTGTGTTCTGTTCACTACTCACCTAAGAAAACCACATAACTTAGATCAATTCCGCCTGGGGCTTTTTGAATGTCTGTACCTAGCCCTAGTAACAATGTGCTTCCTAATGACGTACTGGGGCATTTTGTTCAATACCTGCTCTAAAAGGAAGAGTGTCATCTTCTGAATCATTAACCTGCCTTCCCGCACAAACTGATGGGCATGTTCCTTGGGAGCTTCCCTTCCTAGGACTGATCCAGTCCGACTCAACTAGGTTCTCTCTCTTTGGTTAATCTAAATTTGAATATTTAGAAAAATAAGCTACCGGAATCCTGGCATTTAACTAGGAAGAGTTAAATATGTCAACCAGAGAAAATATTCTCAAGACCAAAATCATTAATTCAGGACTTTGAGACATCAACACTGTGTTCCATAAGGCTCTTTCCATTTTCTGCTAATCTATCTCCACATAAAATTTGTACTTCGTTGATCTAGGCATCTTTTTAATATCATCACAGTCACTGTGAAATCTTTGTCTTTAACAGTTTCCAGAACATAATGGGAACTTGCTGTTGTACCCACTATCCTTCTGAGCATCAGTGCAAAGAGCCTTTCCCCCCCACCCCACCAAAAGGACAGCACAATTACAAGAGTGCTCTCCTGAGATTCCTTCCATTTTTGTCCCCAGAAACTCTAGCTACCTAAAAAGACAGCTAACTTAGAGGAGGAAATGGGATATCTGAATTTGCTAGGAGAGTTGTGTCCTCTTAAAAAGGATGCAACAGACACTTCTTGAATTCTGTGATTCTGTAGATCGTTTCTATTCAAGACACACTGAGTTCCCTTCTTGGCTAAAACATCCTGCATGGGGCAATGCTACAACTGTGAGAATAAACTGCCAAACTGGACAATCCAAATATCAAAAATAAAAATGTTGCAGGTCAATTCAAAATTTATTATTTTTTCTCCAGTGTCCTGGTAAAACAAATTGGGGGGGAAAAAACCCCAAAAACTTGGTTTTATTTTTTTCTCTTGTATTTTTAAAAATTCAGTTGGACTAAATTTACACATGAAGTTTCCATTTTTAAATGAAAAATTGAAACATGAAACATTGACTGAAAGTCAAATTTAACACAAATGCACTAAATAGTCTGTTCAGCCTAATTCTGCAGTTTTCAGAAATTGAAGATTTATTCAAAGCAGTCTCCTAGGTCTAAGCCTCTAAGTCAGTGGCCTGTGCTTACAAGACATGTGGCTTTATTAATGAGGTTCTTTATTTTTGTCTCGACTACAACCCATCACCCCACCTGGCATTGAACTGCTACTGCAACGTGTCCAAAATGAAGTCAATTCTAAATAGTTTCCTAAAGCTCTCTCTACTCACCCAATGCTAATATTACAGCCCATTGCTGAATAGATATGTTCTGAGCTTAAACATCAAAAAAAAATTTCCAAGGAGAAAACTTTTCTTTCCTGAACATTCTTTATATTGGTTTGGTATTTATGAACCATAACCATAAAAGGCTTAGTACTGCAAGGTGCTGTGATCATGCAACTCTCATTGAAGTCTACACTAAATGTGTCCAGTGTAGACCATGTGTTCGATTTATACCTTAATATTTTGCATTTCTGTTACTGGCTAAAAAAAAAAAAATGGAACTCAGCAAATGAAAGGAAATATGTAAAACGTTGCCATCAAGCAATTTCATGTCAGCAGTAGCCTTCTCTGAGAAAGCACGATTAACAACCCACAGAAGACTTTGCTGATAAAGAACAGGGATGGGTGTGCTCATTTTGCCTAATCCATTTTGGATTAAATGCTCAGAGACTTAGAACCACATATTTTTCATCTCATTTCGTTTACAATCAGGGAAACATTTATACAACCAGCACTGCCAACACAAAGCTTTCAAAGGTCATTAGTCTGATTTAACACCCCCCTTCCCACAAAATCATGAGAGTTTCTGAAATGATAAAATTAAAAAAATAATAAAATAAAAGACTAAGATGTGGATACTTGCGTGACTTTTGGGGCCATCTGAACACTTTTCCAGCCTTTTTTTTTTGTAGGTGTGAGGTCTAGAAACAGAACTTTGATGTAAATGTGAGCTGGATTTCAGGCAGGAGGGGAAAAGAGGTTGGGTTTTAACTCCTTCTGCCACCACTGATGCTTTAAACAATAATTTGGTATAAAATAAAAATAGGAGACACCAAAACCCAACACTTTTCTCTGTTAGGGCAGTCGTATAACTAAGGTAAGGCAAGTGGGGCACCAATCCTGGTGACTGGCAATTAGGGGGTGACAGACTCACCCTAAGGCACCCAAATCTCCCTATGCACTGGACAGGATCCTGGGCAACTCACTCTGGATTTTAGATTCTGCGCTGGGGCATGACATTTAGGCACTGCAGCACCTGACCTGCCTATGTCTTCTTTTGGATGTAGTGCTGGGTCAGTTTTAGCTGGTCAGTCCTGAATTACTTATTTTCTAGATTAAAATCATAATAACATGCATGCTTTTTTCACCCTAAAATTGAGCCCACCACAAATTTTACAAGGTGCGTGAACTACATTAATTTATTAAATTAAAACTAAAACTCCTGATTACCAAATATTGACTGACCACAGAATTAATTACTCATTAAACAAAAATATTGTTCTCTCTCACCCTCACAGTGAAAACCCTAGAAAAACAGATTGGCCTGAAGGCTGTGTCAGACAGATGGGGGAGGAGAGTTTCAGAGTCCATGACTCGCAGCAAAAACTACCCTGCCACTAGAATCAGTTCTAGGGACTTTTATGACAAACACAGAGACTTATCTCAAGAGAGGGCAAGGAAAGAAGTGGGTCTACTAACCGAAGTGTGCAGGCTTTAACATCAGCTGTATTGTTATTTACACTGTGGGCTGAATAGTGCAGCAGACTCACCTTTCAGAGCTTGGGTTGAATCCCAGGCTTGAGATCCTGCTGTTTTGATTGGTGGAGCCCATCCACCAATCAGGAGGCAGCAAGAGAAAAAGTCACACCCCTTTCCTGAGGGGAAGGGGAGAAGAGCTCCCCTGGACCTGACTGAAGACTGCAACACTCGGGTCCAGAAGACTTCAGGGGCGGAGCCCTGGAGTGTATAAAAGGAGCTGCGTGCCCAGCAGAAGGACAGATGCCGCGAGGGACTCAAGAAGAGAGGAGCCAAGAAAATCTGGGGAGCTCTTCCCCAACTGGCAATAGGCCCAAGGCTCCTGAAGCTGCCACTGAAGGAGCAGGATTGGAAGCGGTGTGAGACCGCTTGGGCTGTTGACACACAGGGATGGCGTGCAGAGACCTGGCCCTGAGAGCAGTGTGAGACTGCTCAGGCTGTTGACACACAGGGATGGCGTGCGGAGACCTGGCCCTGAGAGCGGTGTGAGACTGCTCAGGCCCATCACAGTGCGCGGTTCCGTGCATGGAGCCCAGGCTTCGGGAGCCGCAAGTGGCAGCTCGAGCCTGCAACCCTGGCAGGGCCAGCAGTCTACACAGTGCATGGGGCAGCGCATGGGGCAAGGGCCTTGGGGCTGCAGTGAGGTGTCTAAGGTCCCA